ATCGTACTATTGTTACCGACTAAATTTATTGCAGATATGTTCCAATATTACTAGATATATTCAACAGTCAAAGATAATTTCATTTGACAATCATACACTAGCAGTTCTCTTTTACCAGCAGTGTGCTGTATGTATATATGGATTACAACAAGTGTCAAGCGGTGATGGACATACATGCTCAGTTACTTTAGAGTTGAGTGACCATCTTGTATTCATTGTATATCTTTGTCACAAGTTTTTGATAACTGTATTTGAAGGATGAACGCAGAAAACGTGTATCTATATCAATCTCTAAAGATAAAACATAGATCTAAGAAAGACATCTGCGATATATCGCTATCAGATTTCTCCCCAATATTGATATCGGCCCCAAAAATCTCATATCAGTCGAGGCCCTACTTGGTTTGCCTTTTAACCCCTTGTTTGTCGACTCTTGTTTGTAAATCTCTGCAACTCTCCATTCCTATCTCTCCTTCCGTTGTCTCAATCTCCCCCTGCTGCTTCTGTTTGCGCTTCATCAAACCCTGACCGTGGTACTTCTTTTCTCCGAAACATACCATTTTTGAGGTCTTCTGCTTGAGTCTTAGTTTTCTGTCTCCCTCCTTTCGTCCTTCTTTTCTTTCTTCCATCTCTCTAACCACCTAGTCTTCTCTGGCTCAGTGTGATGGGACACAGGAGGCTGCTGTAATTTGATTGGAGGTATTAAAGTTGATTTGATTAAGCGTGGGCCAAATTACTGGCTGCTTAATGGAATCAGGCCCAGTCACCTGCCAAGGGCCCCTAGTCGAGGAGCTCAGCCTTGACACACACACACACACACACACACACACACCCCATTTGAAATAACCCCTTTCTTCTGGCTGATTAAATGCTGCAAAACTATTACTTGATCAGACATGCAGCGATATTGTAAAAGCTGGTGGGTCCTGACATCACTTCCCTCCTGCCAGTTATACATGACATCATTTCCTGTGGTCATGATGATTAGAAAAATGACTCCTTGTTTCCAAACTCAATTGCTCCCTTTTTTTAAACCCCCCCATACTCTTCATTAGAGGCAACAGCAACAACAACAGCAATAACATCAACAGCAACAGCAATAACAATAACAGGTGAGGTGGTGCTTTTAATTACAGACATGCTGGACCTGTTGTTGCTTCCCCTGCCCCTGCAGCCTCGGCCTTAACGTCTTTAAAGATCTGTCAGTTGTTATTCTTTACATTGGTATGCACACAAACCATCATGAGCATGCAAACACACCTTCCTACATTTATTTAAACTGTGCCTGGTCAATACAAGTACTGCAGTTTTGCACAATAACATGCAGTATGTTGTTTCTCTTTTGAGAGCTACTTACAGCCCTTCACAAACAGTGAAATATTTTTCATTGACATACCAGGCACGTCACCCGACGGTTAATAATGAACCTTTAAGTAAAATATGCAGACAATTCTTTATATTTTATTTTCTGCACAATGGGAAATGTTGCACTCAGAATGACTGCAACATTTTTTTTTTTATCATGGTTTTGTGTGATATAGAAAAAGTCAGAAGTGACTTCAAATATTTAGGGCCCTATTTGGAGGCTTCTTAAAAGCGTTGTCGAAAACTTGTTGACTAAAATTTGAGGTGCATGGTGATTTGGAGCGGGTCTGACTTAATCGTGTTAGTTTTTCGGCGCTCAGTCTGGGCGCTAAAGTCAGAGCAGGGTACAAAGAGGTTGGATTAAGTTACTCAAGTCTCATTCCCCTTTAAGATCCAGGTGTGTCATCAACATAAACTAAAGGTATACGCTGTAAACATTTCTTTACTTATTTTCTATGCTGGAATCCTTATATTCTCAAATGCATGCGTAATGGACAATTTGTGCAGTCTGTATTATGATTAAGACTTATTACAAATCCATTACTCTCTATTATTAACACCCAGCGCAATACATACATGTTTATTGTCTGTATGCAAATATCAGGCAACAGTCACAAGAACAGTGAGGTTGTAGGTTCAACCTGAAATGACTGGTACTTGTAGCTCCTCCCCTCTTAATCCCTCGCTCTCTTTTCATGACTGACTCTTGATGTGCAGCACATTTTGTGTTTGCATGTTTTTTTGTTGTCGTACAAAATTGTGTAAATGTGAGAAGTCCAATTGAGAGAATTTGTTAGAGAATGAATGCGAGGCAGTAAAAGCGTCTCCCCTCCTCAGCAGCCGCATTATGTCTGTGTTTGTGTGTGTTCTTGCATTAAGGAGGATGAATGCATCTGCTGCGGACATTTAGTCTATATTGGTTAAATTATGTGTTCATATGTCTGCGATTGCTCTGCGTCGGGGAGAAGATGAAAAGTATATTAAACATTCTGCTGACAGCTAATTATCTGTTTGTTATTGTTTGCTGAATGAACTCTATCATTATTGTAAGAGGATAAATTGTTGTTCCACACGCTGCTCTCTGTTGTCTGTTTCCCATCTGCACCTAGTTCATCTTTCTCTTCTTCTCTGTGCTCATATCTGAAACTTTTTTTACTCTGTAGTTTTCATCCTTATGTCTTTTCGAGTTCTATCTCCCTCTCTGTTGTGTTTCTATAAACGTTTCTTGGCTAATTTTTCTCCACTTTGACCTTTTGTTTCATGTTTCATTTAACTTTTCACCCTTGTCGTTTACATTTCCTTTTGTTTTATTTTGTTTTTTCCTCTCCTTCCTCTTCATCTTTTTCTCATTTCTTCTGCGCATGTTTCAGCTTTGATTTGAGGTCAGACCAAGCGGCCGGCGGTCCTCCAGTGTTGAAAAATGAAGCCGATGCGGAACTCGGAAGTGCAAAAATCCTGACAGTTCCTCGTGTGTCCGCTTGAGGCTGCCTGCAGAAGCACCGGAAGTCACATACGCACCACAGCTTTGATTTTTTTATGAAGGATAAGCATGACTCACAATGAGGCGTGTAGCTGACCTGCTTGGCTGGCGGCCGTGGTGTAGCTTCTGGTCAAGAGCTCTCAGTATGTCGTTAGGTTAAAAAAGGATTTTCAGCATGTCGACCGCTGCCGATGGGACTCCAAAGCCCCCTGCAGTAACAGATGGGTGACGTCACTCAGGCGCGAACACACACACACATTTTACAAACAAACATAACATACATGAGCGCTTAAACTCCAGTCTTTTCAAACTCTTTGAGCCTCACTCTCTCTCTCTCATGTAGACGCTTATACAAACACACACACACACACTCACACACACACACATCCCAGCCACTATAGGGATTAAAGCTATAGATCAGATTAATGCCAACCATTTAAGAGATCCTCACATACACACAGTCTCCCTCCATCCTGTGCTCGCCACATGCATTTTTAATCAGAATAGGCCCTCGCTCCACCATTACGCACCACTAATTACCATAATACAGCAGCGAGCGGCGAGAGGTGCCCCCCCGCCCAGCCTGTCACCCTCTGAGCCGATCGTCCCACCAACACCAGCGAGCGCCGCTGTCACAGCTGCTGTTCAGCTACAGGAGCGCTTCTCAAAAAGTCGTTTTTCATTTCTCCATCTTTCTTTTCTTTCCGCTGTGTCCTGGGAATACGGCTGTGTGACTGTGTGTGTGTGTGTGTGTGTGTGTAGATTTATCTAATGACCGTGCAGCAGATGCACCAGATGTTAACGTAACACCAGATAAACTGTATTACATCAGTGTCAATCTCTATCAGTTGACTGTGCCTGCCATGTTGGTCAGTGAATCATTTGTTATTTCCTCTTAATAACACAGTGTAGTCTTTCAGTGATTACCTCAGGCCACACCTTTAATATATGTAAGAGAGTCTGAAATGTCTTCATCCAAACTACATGAATAACTTCTGCTCTGTCGGAGAACATTCAGCTTCCAGGAGGCAGGAAGCAACAGGGTCAAGCCTTTAATGACAGTTTTTTGTTGTTGTATCTGTTGCTATGTGCAATTGAACATATTCACTGTGCCAACAAATGAGTGGAATAGACAAGCGTCAACCTCCGGTCTCGAAAAATGAAGCCAATTCAGAAGCTTGAGGCTGGTTGCAGGAACACCGGAAGTCACATACACACCACAGGCAAAAAAGCTGTTTTTAACAGCATAAATTAACATGTTACAGCCTGGTACAAATACAATATTGGTCTGATTAGTTATATTCATCATGGGCAAACACTGTACGGGGAGGGGGACTTAAAAAAATAAAAAATAAAAAATAAAACGATACGTGATATCCATAGTTAGGAGTGTAGCTGACATGATTGACAGGTGGGCGCGATGTAACGGTTCGGCTTTCAGCCTGTCTTTAGGTTGACTGAAAGTTAGGCTGAGACAGGAATTCAAGCATGGCGGCTGCTGCTGATGAGCCTCCACAGCCCCCTGCCGTAACACATGGCTGACGTCACTCAGGCTTCATCCATTAATATTCACAGCCTATGGATAAAGAACATATTCCGAGCAAAAAAGAGAAGGAAACAGTCTAAGCACCAACACGACGATCATTCACCAGTCACGTGATGATCTTTGATGAATCATTTCTCCAGAGACGACCAAAATGAACTCAAAACGACGGGAAAACCAACCTTGTTAACCTGAGATAACAAGAGAAATAAGTTGAGATCTTGAAAAAACAAAACAGGGTTAAACAAAATGTATTTATGTATGTCCACTTAGGGCTTCTGTATCCTTATAAGAATTAGAAAATCATAATGTTTTTTTGATTAACTGGTGATTCCAGTGTCCTGATACTAAGGTATTGTATCATACGAGTTGTGTGTATACAGTAGTTACACCCCTAGTCTGGCTCAAATCAATTCTTACATACCAGCATTAAATTAACACTTGCACACTAGTTGAATTTTGGTCCGTATGTAGAGGAATCATCGGCTGCGTATATTTTCAACATGTGAATCAGTTGTGTGTCTCGTATGTGTCACATCCTGCGTTTGATATGAACTCTGTCTCTGTTGCGTGATAACATTATTCTCTCTCTGTTCTCTGATTTTCTAACAGGGCAGCACAAAGGTCCCTTCTCTGCGACCAGTCGGCTGTACATGGAGACCCCCAGTTGGGCAGGTCAGTCTGTGTGTGTGTGTGTGTGTATGTGTGTGTGTGTGTGTGTGTGTGCGTGCGTGCGTGTGTGTGTGTATGAATGGGAATGCACTCTTGTTTTTTAACACACAATCGCACGTCTCATGACCACATCTATACGTTACCACATCCAGTGATTTCACTGATACGTGTGCTCTGACATCTACAGCACAGCTACCCATGCAGGTGTGTGTGTGTGTGTGTGTGTGTGTGTGTGTGTGTGTGTTTTCAGTGGACTGTCTGTGTGGATGCCTGTGTGTGTGTGTATGTGTGTGTGTGTGTGTGTGAAGAGGGGAGAATGTGCTGACTGCAGTGCTTTGGTTCTGGGCATGCCCATTAGAAGTGGCTATAAATCCTGAGTGCAGTGCTCTCACTGTGTCAGCAGTCCAGCCAATGAATGGATATTAAACGCCACAAAAAAGCCTCTTTAATTCTGCCTGCCTCTGCCACACCGCTGCACACTCTCTCCCTCTTTCTCTGTATCTAGCTATCTATCTATCCATCCACCTTTCTTTTTTCTCCCCGTTTTCCTTTCTCCTCCATCCCTCTTGCTCTCTCTCCTTTAGCTCTCTCTCTCTCTCGCTCTCTCTCTCTCTGTAATAATTGAATAAAGAAAAGAAAAGGGTCCTTTAACCCTAGCTGCCAGGTCTGTTGAGGTGAAAATATCACCAGTTAAGGAGCTGGTATCTAATACATTATTTACAGCTTGTCATGGTGGCCTTTAAATCTGAACTTTGGGCCCTTATATGCTCCCTCTCAATATATATACATACAGTATCAGAAATTAGAAAAAAGCTGAATCAATAATTCTTCAGGGTTCATGGGATTAGTTTGCTTCTAGATCAGGATCGGTGAGTAGCAGCTGTCAATCAAGCAAAAAGCAGACAACTAAATACTAACATGTTAAACCGTTGAAGTGCTGACAGTTTGGCTGAGGCCGAGTATTATATTGGATGAACTTCTGCAGTCGCTTTTGGATCTTAAACGCAAAGTGTTTTGCCGTTATGTTTCCCAGTTTTCCTGTGTGCACGATGTGTTTTAGTGCGGACTCGTAAACGCTGGCTGTAAACGCTCGGTCCTAATGTTACCCTGCACTACACTTTTCTCTGCTGCAACTCGGCGCTCGCTTCCAAAACCCCTCACTGCAGCTTGATCATAAAAAATGTATTATTATTTCGATTAAATTTTGAGCTTCTGAAGCGTGACCCTGGCTGTAGGTGTGGCCATCTGTCCTACCAGCACATCAATAGCAATCTAATAGCAGGAGGAAAGATCAATCACAACCAGTTTAGATCTGTGGAAATATACACGATCCACGGAGTTCTCAGCCTCTGCACCACTATATTGTGTGTAATATCTTGAGTCCGCTGTATGTATACCTCTGGAGCTAGGCGTTCGGTTTAGCACATTGTTGTTTAAAAATAGAACATAGCACACACAGACAAAAGCGAGGATTAGAGAGCTGCATGGTGGATATGTTTGGGTATTATATTCGTTGTCTCATTACAAGAAGAAATAATGGTTGGAACATCTTTGAGCAAACACCAGAGAGCAAACCCATGAAATATTTTATAGTAGAGATCAGCTTAATCAACATATGCCATGAGGGAGTGACTGGAATTTTTAATTTACATAATAACTGAAACACACACACACACACACAGTTCCTCCTCCCTCTCCGTAATATCAATTACAGCTCGGCCTGGTTTAGCCTCTATCAGTGTTCGTCAGCAGGCCTCCAGGCCCAATCAAGGCTGTGCAGCCCAATCACACTGACATGGCAGCTAATTGAAAAGTTGTGCGTAGCTCAAAGAGACGATCATTGTTGAAGATCCAGTGAAGCTCCTTTGAAGCTCCACGAGGAGATTTTTGATGGTGATACTGAACAAGCGCTGTTGTGTTGGAAAATGTGCATTCTGTGTACCCATGTATTGGGTCGATAGCAATATTCTATCATTATTTTTTCATTTTCTATATATTGTGAGACTTTATATAAGCTGCACTCTGATAGAAAATTATCCATGAGCAGGGGTGTGTCCATGGACTCCCATTGAAAAATGGTTGGCCAGCCCAGGTGTCACAACAAAATCCTATACTATGATTGGCTATTAGCTGTTTCAAAGCCAGGACTATGTGACTGTTACAATGTAGCACATTTTCTTTTTATTTTGGACTTTAAATTGTAAATAAAAATATCTATTGCATAATCCGGGTTCATTGGGAAAAAATAAGTCCATTACAATTTGCAAGCATTCTCCGGCACACTGTCTTAACTTACAATGAACTAAGTAGCAAAGTTCTGGTTCTTATATACAGAAATTATAATGAAGTTTGAAGATTTCTATATTGCGTCTGTCTTGTGTTACTTTAAAGTGGATTTTACTGTGTAATTTTACATTTACCTTTACATTATTGTATTTTTTTACATTGTTATATTTTTTTTTATTTAAATGATGTAAATCTGTTTGATCTGTTTTTAACTTCTATTTTTACTTTTTTCAAGTATATTCCTGTCCCCTGTTTTCTAGAGCTGCTGTAATGGACAAATTTCCCCCACGGGGGATCAATAAAGTTTATCTTTATCTTTATCTTTATCTGATTGGTGGACACAGAAAGACTAAATATATGCTTTTCATTTGTGTACGCGTGCACACAAACTCCATGCCACCCTGCATACTTAGAGCCCCAGTTGAGCTAACCAAGTCAAGAAAATGTAGACAAGCCCCAGTCTATGAGGAACAAACGGTTTTTAGTGATATTAACTTAACATAGGAACGATTCAATGGGGCAGATGGGGATTCACCCTGTTTCCTCACTGAGGCTTAGTGATCCAGACTAAAGTAAAATACTGTTTTGCCTTTACATACCTTCTAAATTATTTGAATGAATGTTTTGCCGCTTCCCTTATTTGTTGTTAAGCAGGTGTTTTCAGCCCATATTGTTGAAGTGGCAGTCTGACTCTACTCTACCACTTGTGTCTCTGTCTGGAAAATAAATAAGTAACACTGCTGCATTTATGTTCAACAGGCTTAAGACAAACTTTGCATGAGACTGTGGCTTTCTGGAGGTTGAACTCTGCAAACAGAACCATTTTCAGGTCACTGACAAGCTTCTTCTACTTTTTTTTTTTTTTTTTTTTTCATTTTAGCACCTCACCCTGTGGACGCTTTTTTTTCTGTATGAATAGGACTCGCTTGTTATGTTTTGTTATGAACTCCAGACACTCATAGAAGAGGTTGTTTACGTTTATCACTCAGGATTGTTGCTGACCCCTCACACCCCTCACACCCCTCCCATCCCTCACACAAACTCTTTACTGTGTTGCAGTCTGGAAAAAGATACTGAAGCATCCGGGCCCTCACTACCAGACTGTGTAATAGCTTCATCCCCCGAGCCGTCAGACTCCTTAACATACAGTGACTGACTTTTGCACACTGTATAATAAATGTATACTGTGTATACTGTAGCTGCACTTCATAGGTACATGTAGATCAGTTGATGATGGTCTGCTTTTAAAAACTACCTCTGCCACTGTCACCTTAAATTGCCACTTTATCTGTTTTAGCCACTGTATCTGTTGTTACTTATTGGACTGTTTTTCACTCCACTTTACTTTGTTTACTCATTTAACCATTTCCATCTTCTCATTACATTTAATCTCATATCTCTCTTCATTTTAATTCTCAATTGCCTTGTGTAGCATCACAGATCTAGAGGAACAGTTTGTCTCACTGTGTACTTTGTATATGGTTGAAATGACAATAAAGAGAACTTGGACTTGAGCTGCCTTCAAGTTCTCAAAAGTTGTATTTAACCATAAATTGAGTTATCTAGAATTTTATGCATACAACTGTTTGTTTTGTTTTTTTGCGAAGGGAATGATAAGTCATGTAAGGATGTCCTCACATGTCAGCGGGTATAGTGGATTGAAAAAGGGGAACAACCTTTGTAGGTACTGAGATGTTTATGCTAGCAGTGTGTTTCTTATTTCAATCCCCATCAAAAACTTTGTTTGGCATCATTGTGTACTGTGAGATTTTTCCACTCTGCCAGGTACAGCATGAAACACTTGAAGGGTGTGAATATTTGTATTGATTTTCATTCTTATATATAATTTGTTTTTGCTAGTATGGAACCTTGACAAAAGTCAGCAGCTTCAAAAAGTGTTGTTGATGGTTCCTCAGTGGATGTTCAAGGTCCACAGGTTCACTGCCGAATGGAGCAGAAAACTACTTTCTAACAAACCAACATTTTGTAGTTGTTGCAGTTCAACATGGAAACATGTTTTCCATTATTTAACTAGGCTTCTGAATCTTTAGAAACCTACTATTCAAGCCACTAACATGTGTAACAAGAGTAGGACAGAGGCAAAGATGAGTCAATATTGTAGGCCTAATGTACAGAGGCCATGGTCCTCCAAGTGGGCGGCCTTTCCTGCAAGTCATTTCTGACTCTACTCTGTTAATAAAGATGGTAGACTGACCATCGTCAGGGCCCTCATCAGATGACCCTGTTGAAGTACACATGCCGAAATGTGGCGGTCAAGTGTTGCTGGAGCTTTTTTTGACCTCTTCAAGCCTTTCACTCTTCTTGCACCTTGGAAGTTGGTGAAGTTGTGCCAGAAATTTCCGCTCTGCTTCTTCAGCGTACAACAAAGTTCAGTATTTATTTAAAGCTCCTGTGTGGAGTTTTTATCTGGTTATGAAACAGACTGAAGTTTATACTGATCCCTTTGTATGACCAACTGAAGTAAAAGAGACAATCAGTGAGAAGATTGATTGTTCATTGGACTTTTTTTAATGACTCTGTCGAGGGGGAGGGGTCAGGTGAGGCAATTACCGGCATGAGGCCAAAAACAGCCTATTTTTTTTTTACCTCTTTCATATCAACGATTCAGTATGAGTGATATGTATGATGCAACAGGAAGCATGATGAGAACATTACCTACACTACTTAAGCATTCACAGGATAAGGACAAAAGTTAC